ATGACTGATTTCAAATCACGCATTTTGGTCCAATGTAAATGTAATATAAACTTAAAAGTAAATGTACTTCAAAAGAGAGTCGGCATACAGTTTCTTACAATCCCATAAGTGTATATGTTACAAAGGTATAAGAGCGAGCATAGCCATAGATTTCCATGTGTGTATACGTTAAACTACTTATGGTATTCTTATGTTTACACTCATAGTCAATCTATTACACTACCCCCTCTTAAATTCCGATATACATTTTAATATTTGCTTATTTATATGTATTTATGTATATGTATTACAAAATTCAATTTCAGTAGTAGTACTTCAGTTACAGATATTTTTTAACAGTGCCGAAGTTTTATTGAGTTTTATTTACTTAACTGACTACTCGACTTCTCAGTTTATATTTATAACCTTGTGTATCGTTTTCTTTTAGTATTATGCTACCAGTATTTGTGATCTCTTGGTCATTTCCTGCATCAGGCGAAACTACTGAATTTTTATACTTTTCCTCCTTTCTATTGATATTCGACTCTAAGCTTTGACTCTCTAGCGGATCAAGTAACTTTTTTGAAATGCCTAGATCATTTGTATTTCCTGTGCTACAAGCAATCATTTGATTTGCATGACGTTTCCATACCTTTTCCGAGGCTGTAGTTTTTACCCTGAATGTTTGTTGGCCTAGTTTTTCTAAAATTTTAGCTTTGGTCCAACTGACCCTTCCCGGTATCGAGTAATCCTTAATAATAACTTGATCCCCGTCTTTAAATTTGTTTCTTTTACTACCACGATAGTGAACTCTCTGTTTAACTTGCTGATCCTTCACCTTTTCTCTTACAGAGGTATCGGGTTTGCGATCAGCTTCTCGCTTTGGGTTCAAAATATATAACCGAGTGCGTAGTAGCCTGCCAAACATAAGCTGCGTTGGAGATACACCTGTGCTACTGTGCACCGCATTACGATAGTCCAATAGAAACCTATTTAAAACATCATGGAAATCTGCTTCCCTGGTTTGATACAAGCCTCTCTTTAACGCCGTTTTTATTACTTTCACACAACTTTCAGCTTAGCCGTTGGTAGCAGGGTGACCTACTGGTGAAGTTATGTGCCTAATGGAATTTTTTTCCAAAAAAATTGGAATTCCCCCGACACAAAAGCCGTCCCGTTATCAGAAACTAAGATTTCCGGCAACCCAAAACGAGCAAAAATTTGTTTTAGCACCCCTATCGTCGCCTTGCTCGTCGTATTTTTGCCCATGCCGATGCACTCGACCCATTTGCTATAGCTGTCCACTACGATTGGACACCAGATTCATAAATGGTCCAAAGAAATCAATATGCACCCTCGTCCACGGATTTTCAGGCCAGTTCCATGACTTAAGAATTTGCTTCGCCGGATCCGGCCGTGACATTAAGCAAGCTTCACAAGACTTCGTTTCCTTCTCAATGTCTGCACCTTGAGTTGGCCACCAGCAACACTCTCGGGCCATTCCTTTCATCTTAGCAATACCGAGATGAGAAGCATGAAGGAAGGCCTTATCTGCACATATACTGGGCCACCCTGACTTTATGAAATCGCAAACCATTTGTAGCAACTTGTCTTTTTGTGTTTCCTTCCTAATTTTTGCAATATTTAAATGAACCTTATTGTTTTGTTGAACGTAACCGGACCGTACTCTTCATCGATTTTGATTTCCGAGGGGTTCCTAGAAAAATAATGGGCAATGTTCGTCTTGGACTTAATGTTGACTATATCGAAGGTATATCCAGATAACGTTAATGCTATCCTCTGCAGCCTATTTGCAGCCATTACTGGAATTCCCTCTTTTTTGGGTCAAAAATGTGATACAAAGGTTTATTGTCTGTCACCAGCGTGAAGTATCGGCCGTACAAGAAATGATGAAACTTTTTGACACCGTATAGGATTGCCACAGCCTCGCGATCAAGCTGCGAATATCTCTGTTCTGTTTCCGATAACCTACGCGATGCAAATTCTATAGGTCTTTCAATGCCTTGTGCTGTAACTTGCGACAATACTGCCCCAACTCCCACCGGGCTAGCATCTACCGTGAGCTTGGTCTTTAGCTGGGGGTCAAAGTGTGCTAAACACGTATCTTGTTTTAACCCTGCTTTTAACGCGCCCACCGCATGCTTATATTGCTTGGACCACACGAATTTGGTGTTTGCTTTGAGCAATTCATATAACGGGGCATACACTTTTGCTACATCTGGTAGGAACCGACGGTAAAAATTTATCACGCCTAAAAATCCTTGCAGTTCTTTAACTGACTGTGGATACGGCATGCGATCGATTTTACGTGTTTTGGCTGGATTCGGATGTATTCTCAAAACCCCTTCAAGTCTTTTCAAATGTATTCCTCGGATTGGTGCCGTGATTAAAATGTCGTCCAAGAATATTACTACTCCTTCTAAATGCATCAAAAGGCCCTCCATAATCTTTTGGAAAATTGCTGGAGCGGACGCCAACCCGTAAACAAGCCTAGTGTACAGAAACAGCCGTTTCGTAGTCGCAATCGTTGTCAATTTGCGTGATTCGGCCTCGAGTTCTACCTGCTGATAAGCTGTCAATAAGTCGAGTTTTGTAAACTCTTCCCCCCCATGAAGTTTTGCAAAGAGATCTTCGAACCTCGGTAATGGGTACTGCTCAACAACTACATTCGGATTAACTGATACCTTGAAATCCCCGCAGATTCTGACCCCCCCCCCCCCCCGTCTTTTTTTAGAATAGGTACTATAGGTGTAGCCCACT